ATAACCCCTTTTGCTTCGCGTCGACAGATATTTTTTTAATTTGTTCGTTTTTATACTGTTTGACAGTCAGTATAGGCTGATATGCAGAAAAAAAATGAAAGCTCCTTCTAGGAAGGCGCCATTTTTTTAAGTCTTGACCGAATCAAATCGGCTATAGTTCTAGACCAATGATGACGAATTTTTCCTTTCGCCTTTCGATTAGCATTGAAAAGAAGCTTTGGAATGAATAGGGATAATATCCTTTGTAGCTGAAAATCCCAAAACACCCTTTCAAATCAAATCAAATCCAAACGGCTGATATCTTTAGTTAGAGAAGACTAGAAAAATGAAATCTGATTTCAAGGATCTATTTACATAATATGGCTTCAAAGCTTTAAATCTGAAGTGAAAGATTTAATCTCTTTTTTTCTTTTCTTCTTGATTCATTTGGATATATTTAATGCTATAGAAATTATGTTTGTCTGTATTCCTTTCGAGGCGTATTGTTCCATTTGAAATCGTTTAATATTTCATTCGGTTTTTCATTCTTTTTTAACATTTACTTGGTTTATAGAAGTCAATCTTTTAAATCCTAAAAAAAAACTTTCTTTTGAAAATATCGGTTATTTTTTTACTCTTGTACTGTCAATGTCATTATCAGAACGAAAATAAGCGGGAAAACCAATAATTTGTATCTTTTGTTTTCATTTTGATTTCAAAACTTTTATGTGTCATTGTGGGTTCGTTTTTCCATTTTGTTGAAGCGTCCTTACGATTCCACGGGCAACGCTCTTTACAATTTCTCAATAGCATGATTTCGTATAAAATGTAGATAAAAAATAGATAGACATCAGGAAAGAGACGCGATTTCCGTTCATAATAAGTTTTGAGTTTTCTAACGTGATTTACTGATCTTTTGAAATTTTTTAAAAAAATAGTCAGTTTTACCCATCTAAATGTTAGTTTTTTCTTAAACTTTGTTTTATCCGACTTTCTAATAACACTATTATTTTCAATTTTTTTCAGCTTATAACTAAATGGTTCTGTCGGATTTAAACAACAACGGTTAAAATATCTTTTCAAGTTTTTTTATAATTAATTTTTTCTGAACGTTGAGAGTTATTTTTTATGGAGAAGTTCCTCGCATCGGCACACTCTTCGAGGACGCAGATGGCTGTGTGATTGGTTGAAGGGAAGGTGACGTCATAACCTTGATTGAATGTACTGATTATTATTTTCGCAGTATCTTAACGTATTTATTCATCTCGCATCCTAACTTGCAGTATAATAATTTTCATCGCTTGCAATTTTTAATATTGTTTATCGCGAAAAAAAAATAGCGGGAAAAAATAATGTGTTATCTTTTGTTTTGATTGTTTTTCAAAAAACTTTTTCATGTCATTGTGGGAGGTTTTTTTTTTTTCATTTTGTTGGAAGTCCTCTATTCCACGGGCAGAGCGCCGTGACGTACTGCTAGTAAACGATAATGTAGAGATACTAAAATTAAACCCTCAAAAGAGACTTGTCAAAATGTTAGTTAAATAAGACAAAAATATTCCAAATCAGCAATTTATGCACTCGAAGTTAACTCAAGGTATATTTGTTCGATAAAATTAAATAAACGCCAAACACTTACTTAATATTAGTTAATCCATTGAAATCAGCAATTAACCCACAACACCCAAAAAACGCAAGAGGGTAAGTGCTGCTCTATTGAATGGCCAAAGAGGAACTAGACCCGAACAATCATTCCGAGGGCTAGGTCTAATTTTACATAAACAGCCACAGATTACCAGACGTGCACTCAACTGACCCCATGCAGATCGAACGACTTAGAAGATTGACTCCGTTGCGGGTTCCAGTGTATGTATCGGCTTCGCGAAGCTTGATCCGAACTCACTTCGATTAAGCTATTTAGATTAACTAGATTTATCTGAGACTGCATTCAGTATTCTTAGGCAGAAACATTTTGGAAGATTGCTACTTGCGTCGAGGGTGACCATTCGTTTTACCGCGAAGCTACTTGACCGGCAACCATCACCTTCCGTGGATTGAAGTTGCCATTTAGAGAAAGGCTAGATTTATACCTGAGACTGACTTGTGACCTTCTTTAGATAAACAAATGATCTTAGGAATGTTGGCTCTTCCGGTGACTTGTGTTATAATGCTTACAGCAGTCTCGGTTCGATCCCGGACCATCGTTGAGTCTATTGATGGAACGCCAGGGTTTGACGGTGCTTGCACTAGACCTCTTGGGCGACCCTGATCAAATGATTGATGAAATATTACCTTGCGGTTTAGTGGTGGTTAATGCGCTATTTCGAGTCACGGTGAGAACATCTCGTGATTGAATTAATTTAGCAGTTAAGGATATCGAAGTGACTACACTGACTTCTGGACTGAAATGAACGATCTTATGAAATATTACCCGGTCTGTTCCGGGGGTTCAATCGTTAGCAAGGCCTTGTCGAGGACTACGGGATTAGTTCTAATTTGATGAACAGTTCTACAGTTCCTGAGGTGATTCACACTGACTCATTAGGACTGTCAATCTATGGAATGGTCGACTGTCTGCGTTCCGTATTGTTATGTCGCTTAGCTGAAGGCGGTATCGAACCATCACCTTCCGATAAGTCGTTTTAGAATTTGAACAGGTCTTCCAGCTATTCAGCTGCCTTCCAAAGCGGGCATGATAATTGATATAATAGCACGTGGGTCTAGTGTACACCGTACGGATATGTCATTCTCACCATCTTCGATGAGTCAATAGTTGAATGCTACGTTTACCGACGGATGCTGACCCATTTAACAACGACGTCATGATGATTAGTACCGGCCGCGAGATGGCTATCGCACGAACCGAATGCGCATCTCCAGGAAATCACCTCCAGATTGAAGGTGTAATTACTGAACATCTAGGTTATACCTGAGACGCAGACTTCGGACTTCTTTTGGCTGGAATCGAAACGATCTTATGGAATGGGACCCTGTCTGCGGGGTTCCGTAGTGTAGTGGAAATAATCGCTACAGCGAAGTCTCTTGATACCGGAACACACCATGTAAGTCCATTTTACGATAAGACGGATTTCTGACGGCTTACAGTGACCTTCCATTTAGGCACTGAAATGAACGATCTGGAAGCTCCGTGGGGTCTAGTTGTGTTCACACGTTTCAGAGAAATCTGGTGATGGCGACTCACCGTATTGAAGTTCTAATTTTACGATTTGAAACAGTGCTACAGGATTTATACCTGAGACGGTGCACTTCACAGCTGACCCTTCCATTTTAAGGGCACTGAAATCGAAAAATGATCTTATGGAATGCATCTGGACTACCCGTCTGTCGTAGGGTTCCGTAGCTGTAGTGGTTATCATTGCTTTACACGCGAAGGTCTACCGGTTCGATCCCGGGCGAACCATCACCTTCCGTTTATTGAAGGTTCTAATTTTACGATTTGGAAACACATGCTGGATTTATACCTGAAACGGTGCACTCACAGCTCAACCCTTCCATTTTAAGGGCACTTGAAATCGAAAAATGAAGTCTTATGATGAATTACGGACTCCCTCTGTCGGGGTTCCGTAGTGTAGTGGTTATCACATTCGCTTTACACGCTGAAAGGTCCACGGTTCTGATCCCGGAGCGAACCATCATCTCTTCGTGGATTGAAGGTTAATTTTACGGATTTGAAACAGTGCTACCAGGATTTATGACACCGAGACGGTGCAATTCACAGCTGACTCTTCCATTTTAAGGGCACTGAAATCGAAAAAACGATCTTATGGAAATGGATTAGCTACCGTCTGTCGGGGTTCCATAGTGTAGTGGTTATCACACTTCGTTTTACATCGCAAAGGTCTACGGTTCGATACCGGGCGGAATCTATCACCTTCCGTGGATCTGAAGTTCTAATTTTACGATTTGAAACAGTGCTACTGGATTTATACCTGAGACGGTGCACTCACAGCCGCTGACCCTTCCATTTTAAAGGGCAGTGAAATCGAAAATCGATCTATGGAATGGATCTGACCCCGTCTGTCAGGTTCCCCGTAGTGATAGTGGTTATCACATTCGTCGATACCGCGAAAGGTTCCCGTTCGATCCGCGAGGACCATCTCCAGCGTGGATTGAAGTTTTAATTTTTACGATTTGAAAATCTACAGGATTTATACCCGAGACGGTGCACTTCACAGCTGAACCTTCCATTTTAAGGGAACTGAAATCGAAAAACGATCTTATGGAAATGGATTGGATCGCCTCCGTCGGTCTGGTTCCGTAGTGTAGTGGTTATCACATTCGCTCTTACACGCGAAAGTCTCCGGTCGATCGGCGAAGCCTTATCATCTCCAGTGATTGAAGGTTCAAATTTTTACGATTTGAAAAGTGCTACGGGATTTATGTTCCACCTGAGACGCGTTACTTCACAGACTGACCCTTAAATTTTAAGCACTGAAACGAAAACGATCTTATGGAATGGATTGGTATCAATCGGCCGGGTCCGTAATGATGGTTATCAACATCTGCCTTTACACGCGAATGGTCTCGGTTCGATCTCGGGCGGAACATCACTTCCGTGGATTGAAGGTTCTAATTTTACGATTTGAAGCAGTGCTACAGATTTTACTGAACGGTGCACTACGTGACCCTTCCATTTTAAGGGCACTGAAATCGAAAAATGATCTTATGGAAATGGATTGGCTACCGTCGTCGGGGTTCCGTAGTGTAGTGGTATACATCTGCTTTACACGCGAAGGTCTCGGTCTGCGATCCCGGCGAAACCATCACCTTCCGTGGATAGAAGGTTCGTAATTTTACGACGAAACAGTGCACTGAAGTTTCTACCTGAGAACGGTGCACTTCAGCTGACCCTTCCATTTTGGTCCTGAAATCGAAAAACGATCTTATGGAAATGGATTAGTTACCGTCTGTCGGGGTTCCGTAGTGGAGTGGTTATCACATTCGCTTTAACGCGAAAGGTCTCCGGTTCGATCCCGGAACCATCACCTTCTGTGGATTGAAGTTTCTAATTTTGATTTGAAAACAGTGCTTTACAGGATTTCTACCGAGACGGTGCACTTCACAGCTGACCCTTCCATTTTAAGGGCACTGAAATCGAAAAACGATCTTATGGAATTGGATTGAACTCGTCTGGCGGGGTTCCGTAGTGTAGTGGTTATCACATTCGCTTTACACGCGAAAGGTCTACGGTTCGATCCCGGGCGGAACCATCACCTTCCGTGGATTAAAGGTTCTAATTTTACGATTTGAAACAGTGCTACAGGTGATTTATACTGAGATGGTGCACTTACAGCTGACCCTTCCATTTGCAAGGGAACTGTAATCGAAAACGTCTTAATGGAAATGGATTGTCTACCGTCTGTCGTGGGGTTCCATTATCGGTTATCACATCTCGCTTTACACGCGAAAGTTCTCCGTGTTCGATCCCGCGAGGAGACCATCAACTTAGGAGTTGAAGGTTCTAAATTTTACGATTTGAACAGTTGCACAGGATTTATACCTGAGGCACTTCACTTGTGACCCTTCATTTTAAGTTGCACTTGAACAAGAAAAACGATCTTATGGAAATGGATTAACTACCGTCGTTCGGTTTTCCGTAGTGTAGTGGTTGATGGCACATTCCTTTACACGCGAAGGTCTCCGGTTCGATCCCGAGGCGGAACCATCATCCTTCCGTGGATTGAAGGGTTCTAATTTTTACGATTGATTAGTTGCTACAGGATTTATACCTGAGACGGTGCACTTCACAGCTGACCCTTCCATTTAAGGGCACTGAAATCGAAAAACGATCTTATGGAAATGGATTGACTACCTTCTGTCGGGGTTCCGTAGTGTAGTGGTTATTACATTCGCTTTACACGCGAAAGGTCTCCGGTTCGATCCCGGGCGGAACCATCACCTTCCGTGGATTAGCTAGGCTGTCTAATTTTACGATTTCGAAACAGTGCTACGGATTTATTCCTGAGACGGTGACACTCGCTGACCCCTTCCATTTTAGCGGCACTGATAATGAAAACGTCTAATGGAAATGGATTGCTACCGTCTGTCTGGTTCCGTAGTGTAGTGGTTATCACTCGCTTTATTACACGCGAAAGTCTCCGGTTCGATCCCGGCCGGAGCCATCCACTGTGGATTGAAGGTTCTAATACTTTTACGATTTGAAACAGTGCTACAGGATTTATACTGAGACGTTGCACTTTACCAGCTGACCCTTAATTTTAAGTTGCAATTGAAATCGAAAAGACTCATGGAAATGGATTGGCTACCTTCAAGGCTGTGTTCCGATGTGATGGTTATAACATTCGCTTTACACGCGAAAGGTCTCCGGTTCGATCCCTGGCGAACCATCACCCCGTGGATTGAAGGTTCAAATTTATAGATTTGAAGCCATTTACGGATTTTCCTGGAAGACTCACAGCTGACCCTTCCATTTTTTAAGGGCACTGTGAAATCGAAAACGATCTTTGGAATGTGATTACCCGTCTGTTCGGGGTTCCGTGTGGAGTGGTTATCACATTCCGCTTTACACGCAGAAAGGTCTCGGTCTCGATCCCGGGACGGAACCATCACCTTCCGTGGATTGAAGTTCTATTTACGATTTGTCAGTGCTACGGATTTATACCGAGACAGTGCACTTCACAGCTGACCCTTCCATTTTAGGGCACTGAAATCCGAAAAACTTATGGTTGGAAAATGGATTGTACCGTCTGTCGGGTTCCGTAGTGTGTGGTTATTACATTGGCTTTGTACGCGAAAAGGTCTCGTTCGATCCGAGGCGGAACATCACCTTCCGTGGATCTGAAGGTTCTATTTACGATTTGAAACAGTTCTACAGGATTTATACTCTGAAACGGCACTTCACAGCTGACCCTTCCATTTTTGGGCATTGAAATCGAAAATCGATCTTTTGGATGGTTCGACCCCTGGTCTGCTCGGGGTTCCGTAGTGTAGTGGTTATCACATTCGCTTTACACGCGAAAGGTCTCCGGTTCGATCCCGGGCGGAACCATCACCTTCCGTGGATTAGAAGGTTCTAATTTTTTACGATCGAAACAGTGCTACAGGATTTATACCCTGACGGTGCAACACAGCGACCCTTCCATTTTAAAGGCGCTGTAATGACGAAAAACATCTAATGGAAATGGTTAGCTTACCTCTGTCGGGGGTTCCTACTTAGTGTAGGGTTATCAATCTGCCTTACACGCAAAAGGTCTCGGTTCGGATCCGGGCGGAACCAATCAACCGTGGATTCAAGGTTCACTTTCGATTTGAAAAGTTACAGGATTTTACCTGGAGGGTGCACTTCCATGCTCCTTCAATTTTAAGGCATGAAATCGAAAACGATCTTAGGAAAATGGTAGTTACCCGTCGGGTGTTCCCGTAGTGCTTAGTGGTTATCACATTCGCTTTACAATGCGAATGCCTCCGGTTCGATCCCGGGCGGAACCCCATTCATCTTCCAGTGGATTGAAGGTTCTAATTTTACGATTTGAAAACAGTGCTACGGATCATACCTGAACGGTGCACTCAGCGAATCCTTCCATTTTAGCACTGAAATCGAAAAACTGATCTTATGAAATGAGTTGACTCCGTCCGTCGGTTTTCCGTAGTGTGTGGTTATCACATTCGCTTTATATCGCGAAAGGTTCGTCTGATCCGGGCGGAACCATCACCTTCCGATGGATGAAGGTTCTAATTTTACGATTTGAAACAAAGTGCTACAGGATTTCCCTGAGACGGTGCACTTCACAGCTGACCCCTTCCATTTTTTTTAAGGGCAATTGAAATCGAAAACGATCTATCGGAAATGGATTGACTACCTGTCTGTCGGGGTTCCGTAGTGTAGTGGTTACTCGATTCGCTTGACCAAGTGTCTCCTGGACGTCTCGATCCCGGGCGAACCATCACCTTCCGTGGATAGAAGGTTCCTAATTTTTTACGATTTGAAACAAAGTCAAGGATTTATAATCCGAGACGGTGCACTTCTACAGCTGACACCTTCCATTTTACAAGAATTGAATTATTAGAAAAATACGATCTATGGAAATGGATTGCCCTACCTCTGTCCGGGGTTCCGGCTAGTGTATGCGTTATCACATTCGGCTTTAACACGCGAAAGGTCTCTGTGTTCGATCCCGGGCGAACCATCACACTTGTGGATGAAGGTTCAATTTTACGATTTGGAAAAGGTGCTAACAGGATTTATACCTGAGACGGTCATCACAGCTGACTTATTTTTTAAGTTGCATGAAATCGAAAAACGATCTTATGGAAATGGATTAACTCACCGTCGGGGTTTCCGTAGTGTGTGGTATATCAACTTCGCTTTACACGCAAAGGTTCTTCGGTTGATACCCAGGCGGAACCATCACCTTCCGTGGATAGAAAGTTCTAATTTTACGATTTGAAGCAGTGCTACAGGATTATACCGAGACGAGTGCACTTCACAGCTGACACCTTCCATTTTAAGGAATGTAATCGAAAACGATTCTATGGAAATGGATTAGGTTACCGTCTGTTTGGGTTCCGTAGTGTAGTATGGTTATCACATTCCTTTACACGCGAATAGTCTCGGTTCGATCACTGGGAAATCACTTCAAGGATGGATTGAAGTGTTCAATTTACGATTTGAAACAGATGATACAGATTTACATACCTGAGACGTGTACCTCACAGCTGACCCTTCCATTTTTTAAGGCATGAAACGAAAAAACGATACTTATGGAAATGGGATTGCTACCGTCGGTCGTGTTCCGTGGTGTAGTGGTTATAACATTGGCTTTACAGCAATGAGGTTCTACGATTCGATCCGGAGACGGAACCATCACATTCCGTGGATTAAGGTTCTAATTTTACGATTTGAAAACAGTGCTACATGTTTACCTGAGACGGTGCACTTACGGCTGACCCTTCCATTTTGGCGGGCACTGAAATCCGAAAACGACTTCTTATGGAAATGATTGGATACTCGTCTGTCGGGGTTCCGTAGTGTAGTGGTATCACATCTCTCTTTACACGCGAAAGGTCCCGGTTCGATCCCGGCGGAACCATCACCTTCCGATGATTGAAGGTTTATTGTTTACGATTTGAAACAGTGCTGGATTTATTCTGAGACGGTGCACTTCACAGCCGACCTTCCATTTTAAGGATTGACCAATCGAAAATCGATCTTATGGAAATGGATTGGCTACCGTCTGTCGGTTTCCGTACGTTGTGGTTATCACACATTCGCTTTGCATAGCGAAAGGTCTCGGTTCGATCCCGGCGGAACCATCACCTTCCGTGGATAAAAGTTCTAATTTAATGATTTGAAACAGTGCTAGCAGGAGTTTCTACACTGAACGGTGCACTTCACAGCTGACCCTTCCATTTTAAGGGCACCGAGAATCGAAAACGATCTTAGCTGGAATGGATAGCTACTCCGTCTGTCGTGTTCCGTAGTGTAGTGGTTATCAATTCGCTTTACACGCAGAAGGGTCTGGTTCTGATCCGGGCGGAACCATCACCTTCCGTGGATAAGGTTCTATTTACGATATGAAGCCAGTGCTACAGGTTTAGTACGCGAGACGGTGATCTTCACAGCGTGACCTTCCATTTTAAGGGCACTGAATCGAAAACGATCTCTAATGAAATGGATTGTTACCTGTCTGTCGGGTTCCGAGTGTTGCGTTATCACATTCTTTTTACACGCGAAAGGTCTACGTGTTCGATCCGGCGTTAACATCGCTAAGTGGATTGAAGGTTCCAATTTTTAGATTTGGAACAGGCTAAGTTTATACCAGACGGTGCACTTCACAGCGAGCCTTAAATTTAGTGCTATGAAATCGAAAAAACGATCTTGAAATGGATTAACTACCGTCGGTCGGGTTTTTCCGTAGTGTGGTGGTTATCACATTCGCTCTACGCGAAAGGTCTCCGGTTCGATCCCGGCGGAACTCATCACTTCAAATGGATGAAGTTTCTAATTTTACGATTTGAAGGTCTGTGCTGCAGATTTATCCTGAGACGGTGACCAAGCTGACCCTTCCATTTTAAGGGCACTGAAATCGAAAAACGATCTTATGGAAATGGATTGGACCTCCGTCTGTCCGGGGTTCCGTAGCTGAGTGGTTACACATTCACTTTACACCATGAAAGGTTCTCGTTCGATCCGGGCGGAACCATCACCTTCCTATTAGTGTTCTAATTTTTAGCGATTTGAAACAGTGCTGGCTACGGATTTATTCGAGACGCTTGTACACTATCAGCTGACCCTTCCATTTTTTAAGGGCAGACTTGAAATCGAAAAGATCTTCTGGAATCGGACCCAATGTGGGTTCCGTACTTTGTGGTTATCACATTCGCTTTACACGCGAAAGGTCTACGAGTTCGACCCGTGCGGAACCATCAACTCCCTTGTGGATTGAAGTTTTTTTACGATTTGAAACAGTGCACAGGTTATACCGAGATCGTTGCACTTACAGCTGACCTTCCATTTTAAGTGCACTGAAATCGAAAACGACTCTTATGGAAAATGGATTGCTACCGTCGTCGTGTTCCAGCCAGTGTAGATTGGTTATCTCCGATTCTTTACACGCAAAAGTTCTCGAGTTCGATCGGCGGAACCATCACCTTCCGGTGATTCGACAAGTTCAATTGGACGTGAAAGCCAAGTGCTATGATTCATACCTGAAGCGCTGCACTTCAGCTGACCTTCCATTTTAAGGGCATTGAAATCGAAAACGATCTTGTTAATGGCATTGTTACCTCTGTCAGGGTTCCGTAGTGCGGTTTCAATTCGCTTTACACGCGAAAGGTCTCCCGGTTCGATCCGGCGGAACCATCACCTTCTCGTGGATTGAAGGTTATAATTTTACGATTTGAAACAGTGCTACAAGGTATTATACGAGACGGTGCACTTGACAGCTGAACCTTACATTTAAGGCACTGATAATAGAAAACGATCTGTATGGAAATGGATTAGTACCGTCTGTCGTTCCGTATGTAGTGGATTATCACATTCGCTTTACGCGAAAGGTCTCGGTTCGATCCCGGGCGGAACCATCAACTTAGCTGGATTGAAGGTTCAATTTTACGATTTGAAAAAAGGTCTACAGGATTTATACCGAGACGGTGGTCACTTCATTGCAGCTGGACCCTCCGATTTTAGAGGGCACTGAAATCGAAAAATCTATCTTATGGAAATATTGGCTACCTCTTGCCGGGGTTCCGTAGTGTGTGGTTCATCAGTCTCTTACACGCGAAAGGTCTCGGTTTCGATCCGGGCGAACCATCATCCTTCCGCGGATTGAAGGTCAATTTACGATTTGAAACCAGTGGCCGGATTATACTCTGAAACGGTGCACTTCACAGCTGACCCTTCCATTTTAAGGGCATGAAAATCGAAAACGATTCTTACTTGGAATGGATCTAGTTACCGTCTGTACGGGGTTCCGTAGTGGTGGTTACTCACATTGCTTTATCGCGAAAGGTCTCCTGTCTGATCCCGGAGCGAACCATCACCTTCGTGGATAGGGTTCAATTACGATTTGACAAACAGTGCTACAGGTTATACCCGAGACGGTGCACTCTCACAGCTGACCCTTCATTTAGGCGGGATGAAATCGAAAACGATCTTATGGAAATGATTGGATACCGTCGGGCTGTCTCCGTAGTGTAGTGGCTTCATCACATTCGCTTACACGCGTAAAAGGTCTACGTCTGATCCCGGGCGGAAGCATCACTCAACAGATGGATTGAAGGTTCACATTCTTAGATTTAAAAGAAAAGCTGCTGAGTGATTTATTACCTGACGGGCACTTCACAGCTGACCCTTCCATTTTAATTGCACTTGAAATCGAAAAACGATCTTATGGAAATGGATTGCTACCTTCGTCGTGTTCCACTTATTGTGGTTAATATACGACCGCTTTACACGCGAAGGTCTCATTGTTCGATCCGGTGCGAACCATGCCTTCCGTGGATTGAAGGTTCTTAATTTACGTTTGAAACAGTGCTACGTGATTTTACCTGAATGTCGGTGCACTTACACAACCCTTCCATTTTAAGGGCACTGAAATCGAAAAACGATCTTATGGAAATGGATTAGGATACCGTCTCGTCGGGTTCCGTGTTAGTGGTATAACATTCGCTTTACACGCAAAGAAAGGTCTCCAGTTCGATCCGTCAGGAACCATCACCTTCCGTGGATTGAAGGTTCTTAATTTTACAGATTTGAAACAGTGCTACAGTTATACCTGAGAGGTGCACTTTACAGCTGACCCTCTCCATTTATGCTACATGAAATCGAAAACGATCTTATGGAAATGGATTGGTCTACCTTCAGGGTTCCGTATTTCCGTAGTGTGGTATCAATTACTTTACACGCGAAAGGTTCCGGTTCGATCCGGCGAGAACCATCACCTCCGTGGATTGAAGAGTTCCTAATTTTGGATTTGAAACAGTGCTACAGGATTTTACCTGAAACGGTGCACTTCACAGCTGACCTTCCATTTTATAGGGGCATTGAAATCGAAAAACGATTTTAGCGGAATGGATCTGACTCCTTCTGTCGAATCGGGGTTCCGTAGTAGTGGTTATCATATCGCTTTTACACGCGAAAGGTCTCGAGTTCCGATCGGGCGGAACCATCACTTCCGTGGATTGAAGGTTCTAATTTACGATTTTGGAAAAGTTCTACAGGATTTATACCTGAGACGGTGCACTTCACAGCTGACCCTTCCATTTTAAGGGAACTGTAATAGAAAAACGATCTAATGGAAATGGATTGCCTACCGTCTGTCGGGGTTCCGTAGTGTAATGAAGTTACACATTCGCCTTCGCGAAAGGTCCCGTTCTCGATCCCGGGCGGGAATCCAACCCAAGTGGATTGAAGGTTCAAATTTTACGATTTGAAAAGGTGCTACAGGATTTATCCTGAGACGAAGTTACTTGCACGCTGACCCTTCGCAAATTTTAAGGTGCACTGGAAATCAACACGATCTTATGGAAATGGATTATTGCAACCTGTCTGTCGGTTCCGTAGTGTAGTGGTTATCACATTCGCTTTACACGCGAAAATGGTCTCCAGTTGCCGGCGGAACCATCACCTTCCGTGGATAGAAGGTTCTAATTTTACGATTTGAAACAGTGCTACAGGATTTATAACTGAGACGGCGTTACTTCACAGCCAGACCTTCCATTTTAAGGGAACTTGAAATAGAAAATTACGATCTTATGGAAAATGGTTGGCCTACCTTCTGTCGGGTTCCGTACGTGTGATGGTTATCACATTCGCTCTTACACGCGAAAAGTCTGTTAGATCCTCGGGCGGAACTATCACCAAGTGGATTGAAGGTTCCAAATTCTCACGATTTGAAACAGGTGCTGCTAGGATTTATACCTGAGACGTTGCACTTACAGCTGACCCTTAAATTTTGGCCATTGAAATCAACGATCTTATGGAAATGGATTGTACCGTCGGTCTGTGAGCAATACGTAACTATGTCGTCATGCGATTTCGACGAAATGCATGTTGGGAAAATACATCACGGGACCGATTAGAACCGATTGAAGAACCGTCAAGAGAATTTTGAGGAGAAAATTTTTTAACACTTCAGAAAAAAAATAATTAAAATTCAACCAACTGTTCAATTTTAACCATTCTTGTCTTAAATCACGGAGAAACGTTATGTTTATTACTTCAACAAATTTCAAATTGATAACAAAATTAGAACGGTGGATGCGACAAATTGAAATTCCAAACAAAGTTTTTTTAAGCTTAACCGACTATTTTTAGAAAATTTTTCAAAATTCAGTAAATTACGTTAGAAGCTCAAAACTAATTTCATTAGAACGGAAATCGCGTGTTCTTTCCGATGGTGTATCTATTTTTATCGTACAGTTATACGAAATCATGCTATTGAGAAATTAGTGCGAAAAATCACCCAAAATAACACAAAACATTAAATAAAAAATTTTCTAGATAAAATTTTAAAATTTCGGCTACGAGGTGCATTCAGTCACCATTACGACTACCTGTGTGCCACATTTCATTGCTGTAAGTGCGATAGATTCGTCTGGACATCGCAGACAAACAAACACACACAAACATTGCCTTTTATAAGTATAGATTTCATAGTTATATATTTGTGAATAATTTATGCATGTCTTTGTACTAGAACAAAAAAACTTCATTCGTTTCTTTACAATTTTAGTATAGAATTATGGGTACAAATTAGTGTTGTAGTGGGTCTGCGATTTAAGCCTAAAGTACGGAGGAAATCAACTCTCTTGCCGAAGGTTCGTTTTTCTGCCGCATGTGCTCGCATTGGAAAACAAAATTTTACGGTTCATAGTTACCGTACTTTTGAAACACAAATAAAATAAATCTAATGAAGTAATTTCTTATTCATTGTCGAAGATTAAACAAGCAATTCATAAATAATTAGTTCAGATATACTAATCGTGTTAAGTAGCATGCAACCGATTGGAAATGTTTTTACTTCTTAAGCTATAGATTTTTTCATTCCGTTTAACTCATTGTTTCCCAACCTTTTTTTGTGCCATGCCCGACTTAAGCCTTTTTGAAATTTTTATGCTCCTTATGTAACATATGCATAATTTTTAATTTTCAAAAATTCAATTATTGAGTAAAGTAACTTATTTCATAGGTTTTAGGAAGAACTCACTAGGAAATTTTTGATAAACACAGTCAGTAAATTTTCAAAACATATAAAATGGATAATTGAAATTTAAGTTCTAAATAGTTTAATAAAATATTTTATATATTATTTAGGTTAGAATTAGTTTGGTTCCAATTTAGTTTGCTTTAGTCTTAAATTTCCCAGCGTTGTTATATCCATTCGATTTGGGTTTTCCCCCATTTAACAATTAAATTGCCCCCTTGTGGAACCCTGTGCCCCACATTAGGAAACACTGGTTTGATTATAATGGGCAAAGAAAGAAAATGTTGCGTTCCTGGTTGTAATTCTAATTACAACAATACAGACAATTATGTCTCGTCGTTCACTTTTCCGAAGGATGCAACGAGAAAAAATCAGTGGGTAAAGAGCATTAATAGGGCAGATTTTATTCCTAGTTTAACTGCTGTAGTTTGCATAAAACATTTTAGCTCGCAATTCATTATTAAAGAAGATCGTGTTGTTAGAGATGACGGTAGCGAGTTGGTAGTACCGAGGAAAATTTGGAAGTTAACCAATGATGGATATCAATCGATATTTCCTAATCAACCTTTTTACCTTTCTCATGACCCATCTACTAGTAGAAAATCTCCATCTGAACGGAAAACTGCCTTGAATCTGAGAGATGAACAAAAATTTGCAGAATGGTGCACGAATGACACCGTTAATTCTTTTGAAATATTTCAGGAAACCTATGCTAAGAAACTTGGTGATGGATGGCTTAACATAAGAACAGATAATTTCATCTTATGTTACTGGATAGACATTAACCAGTGTCCTAGTATTCTTGTTTCCATGAAAATTTATAAGGATTTAACTGTAGAAATTTGGCATGATTCTGTGTTGTTAAAGACCAAATCTTACCATTTTATATTGGGAGAACAATAATAAATATGATCGATGGGCAAAATTTCATAGCTTGTTGAGTTGGTTAGCTGCATTTAAACCAAACAATGTCAAACCAAACGAGAAAACAGAAAATGAAATATATTTGATAAAAGATGCGTATTCTCAGCAAGATGACAGTGATAAGACTTTATTCTACAGTGTAATAATTGAACAACTAAAATTAACGTTATCATCTAAGCACATTTATTCTACAGAGTTTCTTCTTCTTGCAGCAAAATTTTATTTTTGCTATCCTGCTGCGTATAGTTTTATACGTAGTTCAAAAATTTTGGTACTTTTCCGTTAGCCAGCCGCAAGCGAAAAATCGCCAAATAATGTAGAATTCCGCCAAATTTTGGCGACATTTCCGCCCGGCGACTTCGCTCGCGTTTGGTTCACAGTTGGAGACATTTTAGCCGGGCACAAGCGAAAAATCGCCAAATAATGTAGAATTCCGCCAAATTTTGGCGATATTTGCGCCCGGCGACTTGGCTCGCGTTTGGTTCACAATTGGCGACATTTTAGCCGGGCGTTTGGT